CCCGTATTGGATTCACTTGTAATTTCCATGGATTCACACTTTACAGGGATATTTACCAAAGGAAGAATTCAAAGTGAATTTCAAATTAAAAGGTAAATATTAACCAAACAGGAAACATTATCTAAGTCAGCTGTGCTTCAAGTTTGGTTACTTAGGACTTAAATTTAAAATTCACTTTGAATACTAACTTTAGTTAATAACTGTGCTCTGGACCGCCATTAGGCATAACAACCGTGACACTTTTCACAGACCAGGTGGTCCTGGAAGCCTGAACTGCTCGGGAAGACAAAGTTTCCCTCTGATCTTCCAATCCGCCGCCACTGGTGATGAAAACAAAGTCTATTACAGCTTCAGTAGTCAGTGCCTGCCCCCTCGTTCCTGGAGTCCCGGAGTCCAATGTGCATGTATATATATATATATATATATTTATAGCCAGTATTGCTATATATGAACTGCTGGGCAGTATAATGAAAAGGATGCCTGGGAGACTCCTGAATCCACCTCAAGTAGTGTACTCTCACGAGCCTCAGCTGTCTGAGCACTGTCGCAGGTTGCCTTCAAGCAGTACACATGCCAGGCTTGCAAGGTGCAACATGGTGTCTCAGAACAGTCTTCAGTATACAATTAAACCGAAGCCTGCACTGTGCCACCGGACCACCAGGGCGTGTAATGTCCCCCCTTCCAGGCTACACACTGTCTCCACTTTACACACACACACCTTGCATCCACTACACACACACCTTGCATCTACTACACACATGCTCCATCCACTACACACACACAGAGGCAAAACTTGCCCTTGGCCCCTCTTATGTGTCTCATCCCCCCAGGTGTTTCATTCTCCCTCCCCATCCTCTCCACATGTCTCATTCTCTCCCTCATCCCCTCTACAAGTCTTATTCTTCCCCCCATCTCCTCCATGTGTCTCATTCCCCCCAGCCCCTCCATGTGTCTCAACCCCCCCAGCCCCTCCATGTGTCTCATTCCCCCAGCCCCTCAATGTGTCTCATTCTTCAGCAACCCCTCCATATGTCTCATTTACCCCAGCCCCTCTCCATGTGTCTCATTCTTCCGAGCTCCTCCATGTGTCTCAGCTCTCCCATGTGTCTCACACCCTCAGCTCCTCCATGTGTCTTATTCTCTCCCTTCCAGCTCCTCTATGTGTCTCATCCCTCATGAGATACAATTATGTATGAGTGGGGCAGGGGTCCTACCCCCCCAGCCCCTGCATATTCCTCCTTTCCTCCCGCAGCCCCTCTGTGTCTCATCCACCCCTCCATGTATCCCTCTCCCATCCCCCTTACCTCCATGTAGCATGGCCGATCAGACCGTGTTACACACTCTGTCAAGAAGTGACCCCTCAGTAAACACTTCCTGTCAGACAGCAGTTCGTTCAGCCACACTACATACAGTGACTGGCAGAAGGTGAGCACTGTGTGCTCCCCTCCTGCTGGTCACTCGGCAACTGCATGTCCTGGGCTGGTGCGACTGGCCACTTGCTCTGAAGTTATGCCGATTGCAGGGGTCGACAGGGTGGCCGGGCCCCCTGGAGTGACAGGCCTGGTCTCAGCAGTGACATCTGCGACCACTATAGGTACACCATTGCATACACAAACTCCTTCCACCACACACATACTTCATCCACTACACATATACTGCACCCACGACATACATCTTACATCCACTACACACATATGGCACCTATGGCACTGCATGGCACTCAAAGCTGCCAGAGTCAAACAGACTCTGACCTATCAGGAGTCCCAGTGAGACTTCAGATATCTGCTAATACAGGTGGTGAGGGCAATCTTCAACATATGCATTGCAGCACTTAGAGTAAGTGACCTCAGATCACTTCTTACTGCACTTGTGAACAGGAATCACACTGAAGTATAGCAGCCCGCAGCAGCTATCACAGCTCCTTACCTTAGCCAGTACCTGGCCAGTCCAGATGCCACTGGACTCCAGGGAAGCCACCCATACTGCTAGATATACACAGTGCTGCAGAATAACATAGCACCACTGACAATCCACACACACACAGACAACCCCACACGCAGCCTCTCACATGCAATACCACAAGCAGCCACACACATACACACACCACCAAATACGCAATGTGACATATCATCCAGACACACAATTCCACAAGCAGCCTCCATACACAGCCCACATTCATAGGTATCACACACAATGCTACAAACAACACATGAACATATAAAATATAACAGTCCACATACGCACAAATACAATGTTTCAAAGTAACTGCAGCACCCACATCACAAGAAGAATACAGTAACACACATCTCAAATTAAAAAGAAAATAGTACCAGCACGCCAAGGGACTTTGAGACCTTGTTTTGGCACAGTACTACTAAAAGGTTGCATATCCCTGCACTAGACACCCTGCACCGCTAGACTTGCACATATTCTGCATCCACTATACACATACTGTACATACACACCTTGCATCCACTATGCACACACACAGACACACTGCATCCACTATATACACACACAAACAGGGCTGGACTGGGACAAAAATTCAGCCCGGGCCGCTGCCCATGTGGGTGCATGATGTATCATCACCAATGACCTGATTGCCCCTCATGGCAGCATATGTGTAGTGGAAGGAGGTAGGGGTTGTGTGAGGGGGATAGGAGATCTAAAAAGTCAGAGGGGGACTTCAGGGTGTGGCTTCAGGGTGTGAGAAAGAGACATGGGGCTGCAGTGTGTGACAGGGGGACAGGAGCAGCAGTGTGTGAGAGGGGATGTGGGGCTGCAAGGTGTGAGATGGGACATAGGGCTGCAGGGCTTGCAAGGAAATTTGGGTCTGCAGGGTGTGAGAGGGGGACGTGGGGCTGCAGGGTGTGAGATGGGACGTAGGGCTGCAGGGTGTGCAAGGAGATTTGGGTCTGCAGGGTGCAAGAGGGGGACGTGGGGCTGCTTGGTGTGAGGGGGAAACAGGAGCTGTTAGGTGTGAGGGGAATACAGGGGCTGATGGGTGTGAGACGGAGACAGGGGCTGATGGGTGTGAGGGGGAGACATGCACTGCTGGGTGAGAGGGGGTGTGGGTCTGCAGGGTGTGAGAGGGGGACGTGGGGCTGCTGGGTGTGAGAGGGGACACAGGGGCTACAGGGTGTGAGAGGGAACATTGGCTGCTGGCTGAGAGGGGGCTGCTGACTGAGGGGGACATGGAGCTGCTAGGTGTGAGAGAGTACATGGGGCTGCTGGGTGAGAATGAGGACATGGGGTGCTGTGTGAAATGGGGGGAAAGGGCTGCTGACTGAGAGGGCGCAGAGACTGCTGTGAGTGAAGGGACATGGGGCAGCTAGTTGATGGGGGTTGGGGCTGCTGGCTAAGAGGGAGGGCAGGGACTTCTGTGTGAGTGAGGCAGGAGCTGCTGTTTGAGGGGGACAGGGACTGCTGGCTGAGATGGATGGCAGGGGCTGCTGTGGGAGGGGGGGGCAGGAGCTGCTGTTTAGGGGGATAGGGAGCTGCTGGCTGAGAAGGATGGCAGGGGCTGCTGTGTGAGGGGGCAGGGGCTGTTGACTGTGTGTATGGCAGGGGGCTGCTGGCTGTGAGTGGGGCAGGGGTCTGCTCACTGAGAGTGGGGCAGGGGACTGCTCACTGAGAGTGGGGCAGGGGACTGCTCACTGAGAGTGGGGCAGGGGGCTGCTCACTGAGAGTGGGGCAGGGGGCTGCAGGCTGAGAGTGGTGCAGGGGCTGCTCACTGAGAGCTGGCAGAGGGCTGCAGGCTGAAAGTGGGGCAAGGAGCTGCAGGCTGAGAGGTGGGCAGGGGGCTGCATGCAGGCTGAGAGGGGGACAGGTGACTGCTGGCCGAGAGGGAGGGCAGGGGCTGCTGGCTGTGAGTTGGGCAGGGGGCTGCTTGCTGAGAGGGGGCATGGGGCTGCTGACTGAGAGGGGGCAAAAAAAAACGTAAGTTTGTAATTAAATTATTTTTATTTAAAAAAAAAAAACAACTATATAAAGTTTACTCCCCCATCCCTCTTCCTTATCTTGAGCCTTGGCAGGAAGGGGAGCCAGGGATGGATAATTTTTTACTGGTTATACACTACATGAAGTGTATGCCACTGTGCTGGAGAATGAGTGTGCAGGCTGGTGAGAGAGATCTTTGATCTCCTAACCAGCCACAGAGCTCCCTCTATGAGCCTGAGGTCAGGCAGCACCAGCCCTAAAGGGGCTGGCCGGGGATCTCCCCTGTTGGCTTCAGCCCATGGCCATCGCGGCCTTTCGGGCACTTGCCCAGTTTGCCTGATGGCCAGTCTGGGCCTGCACACAAACACACTGCATCCACTCTACTTATCCTTGTGAGCGGGGATTAAGAGATGGGCAGAGTGCCAGAGTCAGGTACGAGGGGCCCATGCCTTGAGCTGTTTAAGGGGCCCATTTTTCTGATGGCAGCCCTGGCTCTGTTAGTATTTAGCCTACTATAATAAAATTAAAGTGGAGTCTAGGTAGAACAAGACTAAATGGAACTCAGTTACTCAGTGTAGCTATTTAACTAGCACTAGTCCAGTGAATCGTTTGTGCATTATTTCACATAAAAATAGAGATGAACACAGATTGGGTTGCTGTGCTGGGATTAATCTATCATTAAGTGGGTACATTTTTACTAACCTGAGAATGTGCAGAGAAAAAAAAACACATACTTTATCACTTTTGATACAAATAACTAAAGTGAAAAAAAGTCTGCTTTAAAATTGAATATTTCTCTTAAAATCAATGTAGGAAAATGTGTCACTATTTATGACATCACTTACATTAAATAGCTGGAACTTAACCTTTTTCTTATGTTCTGATATATAAAATCCCGAACCTGTCTGTGTTTTTTTTAAAACCACATCAGAAGTAAATATATAGAAAATGCTGACGAATATTTTTCCGTTGTCGATAAAACCTTATTCTGAAATTAGCCACCTCCACAAAGTGACACAAGTCAACTCAGGTACTGGTTGTTATTGGAGTCAGAAAGGAAGCTTAATCAAAGCGTACACAGCTTATGATTTACGAACCAGCATGATGTTTAAAATTATAGGCTCCCTTCTTCTGTTTGTCCATCTGCACAATGGTAAGTCATTATATACTTATATTCCAAGAATTTCTGTATGTTGAATGTTACATAGAGCACTGGGAGATAACATCATTGATGTAGTTTGCCAAATTATATTACATGGACAGGTTTTAACTTTTTAAGTGGTTAAACAAAATGCATCTTTAAAAGTAACATGTATGTGCACACAAGATTTACTTCTTGAAAGGAAATTTAGTGCATTTTTTTTATCATTTAGCTTGATGTATGATAACGAAGTAGAAAAAAATATTGTGCCCTAATATATATGAGTTATGTACTAGAGTGAGAATTCAATTAAATTTCAAATTCAAGGTAAAAGAAGCCGAACCAGAAAAATGTTCTAAGGCAGCTATGCTACCAGATAGACCACTTTGGCCTTAAACCTGAAATTTACTTTAAATTCTCACAATGGTGAACAACTTTGATAAGATTTTAGAGCATCCTTCTTCTAAATTAGAGTTGTCAAATTGTGGCGGTCATATCCTTGTTGTACTAAAACCCCTACAATGCTCTGCAAGTAATTGGTTATCAGAGGAATTTAGAGTTGTGGTCTAAGTGTGGTTCAGTTTGACAACCCTGCTCTAAATAATTCAGACCACTCTTCAACAGATGGCCATGTTATTACTGTGTCTAATGTGTAATTGTAGATTTAAATATTTGGGATCTACACATAACCATAGTAGCCACTAAATAAATGTATATAGCGCCTGAAAATTTAAATAGAATGTAATGTGGTCTATTCCACCCAAAAAAGGACTATTTGATTGTGAATGATCCATGCATGTTTGAAATTTGTTTCACAAAATGTTGTTGTTTTTTATAAATTTAATTCTAATTATTTTAAGCCATGTGAAATCACAGAGTTGGGCCATATGAATTCCCCCATTAATTTTGAACATTTAAATATTAACAAGAGGTTTAGATTTCTACACTTAAATCATCACAAGCTGTAGACATTTTTTTTATGGAATTGCATACAACCTGAAATGTTGTTCTATGCCTATGTATGTCGGTGTTTGACTGAGTATGATGGGAGTTACATTCTATTGCAGCTTGAGTGATGAAAAACATGCAATCTACGTAATACATACAAAAATGTGATATACAATTTTTGAAATTATGAACAAATATCTAAGATTCTAAATCAATGCCATCTCTGGAATTATAATATCTCCTACACCTCGCTACAACAGTATTTTCCAACAATACATGGTCTATTATGCATGTACATACACGTCCTTTCTATATTACTTTTTGTTTTTGTTTTGTTTTTAAATTAGACTTTATACCCCATAAAACCCAACAGAGGCTGTTAAATTGTTAGTTCTGGTGTTTTCTTTGTTTATTTTAATTTTATAATTCTTTATTTTTGTAGTGCATACGTTTAGTACAGTTGCACATAGGGTACCCCAAAGGCAATCCACCAGTGCATTGTCAACGTTTAAACAAAGAGGTACATGTGTAGTCTAGCACATTTTTATAACATTAAAGTATATTATGAACATTAACGATTTTCGATGTTTAGGCATATACATAACATAGCGTGACCTCGCTTCACTTCTAATCATGAAATTAAGATGCTGTGACAAGAGCTATGTTAAAGTTAAGTAAATAACCACTGGGGTTTGCGGTGTACAAGAGTAACTTCACTTGAGTATGTGAAAATATGGCAGGGGGCCTTATTCTTCATGGGGTACAGCAAGGATTAGCCGATCACCGTCTGGGCGTATAATTATTGTAGTGGCTAGGTGTGCTCTAGACGAAGATAAAGAAAGAAATGAAAAATAAATGAAAAGTCAGTGTGAACCCCTTCAGGCCTGTGCTAGCGTGGCCATGGTGTGATCTGGTCACATAGAGCGCCACCCTGAATTGCTGGGCTTGGCTCTCGTAGGGTTGTGCAGAGAATGGTTCAGCCAATGCCTAGTGTTGGGAAGTCCCGGTCAGTGCCAATATGAGTCCATGCTTTGGGGTCTCCGGGTGTGATGTCTCCATACCGGGAGTCAGCTCCAGTGGTGCCTTGAGGGGGGAGCAGTCGCTCCAACCTTTGTTTTGTGGCGTCGCCCGCAGGAATCCGGATCATGCTGCACTGCATAGTATTGGTCGGGTCTGGAGGGTTCCCTGCGTGTGCCTTTTGTGGCATGGTCGCGGGTTTATGTGGTGGAGAGCAGTGGAGTGTTCTTGCGAGGCCCAGCGCCCCTTCCCGCCTTGGAGACCGCCGGTACCTGCATTGCCTGATGGTCGCTTTGGAGGCTCTGGGTGGGCGCCTGTACTGGCTGCGTCGCGCTGCTGGTCGGATCCATGCGGCAACCATTAGTTCTGCTTGGCGGTAGGTAGCCCCTCGGCTGTGCAGCGCCTCCCAGAATGTGTTGCATAGCCAGTCGAAAGTCCCTTTTGGCGGTGTGGGTGGCTCATTATGTGCTCCCCTCTCATGGTGTCTGCACTGGGCCGCCATATTGGTATCTTGGTGGCCTGTTGCCCTTGCATAGCGTGAGGTGAACTCTTCCGTTTTTCGTTGCTTCCAGTGGGGACCGGGATATCCCCCGCCGGTCCATAGGGGGGGGGGGGAAGCTGTATGAGCGTTGCTCGGGGCACCCGGTGCGGAGGGGAGCGGCCGCCTCCCCCCGGCTCCAGCCCCAGTAGGCCTTAGGCCGATCTCCGCTTTCCCGGCTCTGACAGGTCCCGGGGTTGTAGCCATCGATTCAGCGGTGCACCCCCGACGTGTGTGGTGCACCTTCAAAGGACCTTGGGCCATATAGCCTCCGCTTTTCCCCGTTTGCGGCCCGTTTGTCGGGAGCTCGTGGCAGGCACGTCTGCACGGCTCAGTGTCCAGGCTCCGCCCCTTTGTTTATTAACAGGATATAATAGTATATAAAATAACATACATAGCTCCTTCAAACATATTACACTTGTTTAACAAACTAGTCTCATACATGTACAGCTTAAATGAATAGATACATACTAATCTCACAAACCCTTCACACACACGTACAATGAAATACAGGCCTCCCAACTGTCCCACTTTTGTGGGGACAGTCCTGATTTCTGGATCCTGTCCTGCTTCAGTTCCTTGGTGCGTCTATTCCGATGCCTTACCTCCCATTGTTGGACGGTATGACTGTGCCTGGATTAAGATGTTGATTCCTAAATCCTTAACACAAGATAATCATATATAGGGAAAACAGCACATTACATCACAGAAAAGCTTGAAGTTGATATTCAATGTTTTATTTAATGATTTAATTTTCCAAGAAGTGACAGTTTCTCTTTAAATGCACCATGCACACTCACACTCAACAAACTCATCTCACACATTCTCAGATCACACTAATAATCATACCACTCACAATAAAACACCATTCTCACACAAGCTACTAGCTCGCTGTGACACATATTCTTCACAAACAATTTACAGAAAACCATCGAATAGTTCTGACTTCAGACTCCTGTCCCACCACCCTAAAGATTGTCCTCTGATGTCCACCTCTAGACGGAGTTGGCCAGCGCAATGACCAGTCAGCCTAGTGTGAATGCCCCTTCTTCAGTTAGGACCGGCCCCCGTGTCACCAGAAATGCAAGTAGCAACAATGTCCTATAAGCATTATTTCTCCCAGAGTCAGGAGATTTTGCTTAGAGTACTCACACACTTTCAGTACATACTCCAGTCTCAGAGTAAACGCACTCTGTTATTCATATATATTTAACATGGCCACACCATTACTAACACAAAGGAAAACTCCCACCACCTGCAGTCGGAGACAATAAATATGTGAAATCTCCTTTCCTCAGCAGACCCCCCCCACCCCCTGAAGAGAGCAGCTAATGGAAGATCTTGTTCCCTTTGTGGAGCAGCCAATAGACTGTTCACTCCACATGCAGAAGAGCCTATAGAGCTTCCTCCTCCTGATTCAGTAACGGGAGATATCACCACAACAAATACAAAAGTGGTAAACACAAAATAAAACACAGAGATTGATTATTATATATAAAGCACCAGCAAATTCCGTAGCGCTGTACAATGGGTGGACTAACAGACACGTATTTGTAATCAGACAAGTTGGACACACAGGAACAGAGGGATTGAGGGCCCAGCTCAGTGAGCTTACATGCTAGAGGGAGTGGGGTATAGTGACAAAAAGGTAAGGGTAGGGTAGAAAAGCAAGTTTCTAGGATAATATTCACTTAAGTTTGGTGTTCCATAGGAATGGTGCAGCCCTAGAGCAGTCTAGGCATCAGAGGCAGGAGTACGAACAGTTAGACGTAGATCTTCAGCAAGCATTGGGGCCTTGAAGGGATGTATATGTGTATTAGTGAGGATAGCTAGGTTGGGGCAGCATTGGGAAGGTCTGGCATCTTTTGGCCTGGGGGAAGGGCAGTAATAATAAACAAAAGTGTCTTTTTTTTAATGTATAAATGTCACAGATCTTTGTGTGGATGGTCCTACTCATGAACCATGCTCTATATGGAGTTGACGGAATAACCAGCACTCCATGGTGGAGGATTCACAGAGTTCTGTGCATGCCGATGGGACAGTAAGATTTTCATGAGCCCTGTCTCATGTCACTCTGGGGTCATCATACATTCTCATAAGTCTGGCCAGCCCCAGATACTGCAGTCCCATGGAAGAATAGTTTGAAACTGCAGTACACAACACACACATGCTCTTGGCCCAGGGGGCTCCTGTCCCCTTGCGATCCCTCCCATGTCAACTTCTGTGTTAAAGATGTTTGTTTTCCTATCAAGTTAAACACCGGAAATGCCCTTACCCTTTCCACACATATACTCAAGTCACTCAATAGCAAATTTACCTTAAACAAGGGTGTTGTAGTTAGTGCCTGCTTAATACCCAGCACTATTGCAGAATGCCCAAACTTGGTACAACTCATAAAAAATAAAAATAATAATAATAGAAAATTTAGAAACCACGAGTGTGTTGGAAAATGTGGAATGTAGGTGAAGAATGTACAAAAAATATAACAAATGTGGAATATTGGATAAGACGAATGACGTTTGTATTATCTCTTAGTGGCATCCGTTCATCCTCAGTACTGCTTCTAAAATCTGACAAATGTATAGTCTGCCCTATGTAACAATCCTTCTCTTCATTGTGCTTTTCTATTTGATATTGGGCCACTAGTTTAGAGACCCATTTATCATTTACTGGTTTTTGTCACAAAATGCTGGTTTTACAGAGAAATTCCTTGGACAACAGTTATTATTTAGAAGGATTTGTTTAGCATCAATTTTATTTGGAGATACCATCCTTAGACTTAAAGATTTGCTATACAAAAGGAAATGAAAATAAGTGCATACCTGCAATATTTCCTTTCCTGTTGTCGAGCTCTGGGTGTTATGAAGTCATTTCACAGTAAGTAGGAAGATTAAAGGCAGGAATCTCAGGTGTATTTTGCATAAGCAGAAGAAAAATGCATGAAAAGTAAAATATTATAAGCAACAACACTTTTTAACCCTTTCATGGTTCTTTACACCCCAGTGTTTAAATAGAGTGTATACCTAAGTCAGGTTAACAAATCTAATCAGCTATCAGACCAGGGCAGGCTCAAGACATATAGGCCATTTGCTACCCGGGCCCAAGAATAAAATGGTGCCTAAACAGTCCTATACCTACATAATTACTTTCCACTTACATGAACATAATTAGTCACATATATATATATATATATATATATACACACACACATTCAATTATTCAAAATAACTTGCCAGTCAAGGCTGCTATCAGGGGGGGTATAGCCAATGCTGCTGTATGCGATCTAGGCTGACCAGTGGCCCGATGAGCCTGGACCCCACATTCCCAATGTGCACATAAATTTAGCAATTATTTATATATATATATATATATATATATATATATATATATATGTGCCCCTGCAGGCCACTAGATGCATGTACAGTGAAGAGGGAGCTCAGCAAATGCCTTCATTAGCTTCCATTCCAGCAGCTCCTTTCTCAAACTGTAGCAAGCCCCCGGTCGTCAGAGCACTGCCACGGGATACCACGTGAGCCCTCCATGCAGCTGCAGGCCGGGTTTGCGAGAGTTGGAGAGAGGAGCTGCCAATAGCTGAAGATGGCATTTGCTGGGCTCCCTCTTCACAATGCATGCATCTGGAAGCCTGGCAGCAGACACAATGCCTCCGGACCATCAGGTAGTGTAATGTCCCCCTTCCCTGGCCACAGGTAACAGACAAGAAGAGGGGGATAACATAAATTATAAATATAAACATGATTCAGAGGGTACAGAACCCTTACAAATAATTGTTTTATTGTCTTTCTCATTCCAGCACAATCTCCAAAGAAAAATAATTCAAAGGTAATCATTGCATTCCGTCACGGTCATGCCAACATGCCATGCCAACATACCCCACCTCCACACTCTAAGTTTAACCTAACCTTGCTGAAGGGGGAAGAGAGACATCCAGTGTGCGTTGCGTACACCAATGGAATGGACACCAAACTCTACAACTGGGTCGACCAAGCTCCTTGTTATATTCGGAAAACTAATGAAAGCGCCATCGCTCTAACTATTTTCAATCTTAGTGTTAGCCACACAGATAGTTACAGTTGCCGTCTTCAGAATTTTTCTCCTGCTCCCTACTTGGACATTACTACAAATGAGACATATGTTTATATCCATGGTAAGGAATAATCAGCAATGTTGATAAAAGCATGACTCTTATTGTATTCCCTGTAAAAAGGGTCAGTAGTGGTGTATTTTGGATATGTGCTTCCCTAGGCATGTCAAAACTCGGGCACCCCCCAATCTAAATTTGCCCTGTCCCTACCTGTTTAAGACAAACACGCAGTTTGACTGACAGACACACTCTGACACACCCATTCACTGACAGTCACACACTCTCAGATTCACATACAGTGACATATGTTCACTGACTGACACACACTGGCAAACACACACGTTCACTGACAGACACACACACTCACTAACAGATACACACTCACTCACAAACATACGTTGACAGACACACACACTCACTAACAGATACACACTCAGTCACAAACATACGCTGACAGACACACACACTCACTAACAGATACACACTCAGTCACAAAAATACGCTGACAGACACACACACTCACTCGGATACACAGTGACAGACATGCACACATGCACTGACAGACACACACATTCACTGACACACACACTAATTTACTGACAGACAGGGCCGCCATCAGGGGGTGACAACAATTACTCTCTGCACATATATATAGACAAACAGGGGCTAAGAGGCTAACAGGGCATCTGCCAGGGTGCTTAGGGTGCGGCTTTTTTTGTCGCCACCCCCCCCCCCCAAAGTGCCGTCCAAGGCAAATGCCTTGTTAGCCTCGTGGGAAATACACCACTCAGTGTCAGGTTGCTCTTATGCTTGGTTGAGAAACAGACACATTGATTTACTAATTGTTTTAGAAACTGGTGTAGTTGTAAAAATCATTTCTGCCCATATCTCAGCAATAACATCTGTCATGTTCATTAGTTCGTCTTGCAGTTGGCCTGACTTTGGCGTAAGTATTACAAACCTGCGTAACAGATGTGATATGTTGCGTAAAGTTCACTCTCCCCACTCGTACCACCAGGGAATAAGAAATGTCCCCCCTCCTCCTCAATAAAGGTAAGAAGGGAGGGGGGACATAGAATATTTATTTTAATTACATTTAAAAAAAATACATATATTATAAAGAAAGCCCCCCTACCCTTATCACACACACACACACACACACACTACACACATACACTGCCCCCATACACATTTACCCCCATACACATACTGCCCCATACACACACACTGCCCCAATACACACACATTGCCCCCCATACATACACACACTGCCCCCCATACACACACACTCTACACACATACACTACCCCCATACACACACATTGCCCACACTCACACGTACACTGCAATACTCACACACACATACTGCAACTGTTACACACACATTCTGTCCCACACATACACTGCATCCCTGACATACACTGCCGCCCTCACTCACACACTACAACCTTCACACACACACACTGCTCACACACTGTCCCCCTCACACACACACACACACACACACTGCACCCCTTACACATTGCACCACTCACACACACCACTGCTCCTATGCCCTACTACAGCCCAATTTCCCAGCAGACCTCAGGTAAGTTGTCAAACTGTTCTTAAACGGTTTGACTACTTACTCTGGGAGGGGGTCCCGGCACTATTGACACTATAACCACAACACTGAGCTGTAGTGGTTATTGTGTCTGGATTATTTCTTTAAATAATCTACAAGTGCCCTCCCGAGATCAGGCTCTAGATCCGCCACTGCTCCCACAGCGACATATATTTAGCAGCTCATCTCTCCCTCGCTCGCTCTCTGTCTCTCTTCCCCTCATGAAAATATTCCTCCCGGCTTCATTATTCTATCTCAGCTACATCCCTTCTTTCCCTACCCCAAAAGGGTGGTGTGGAGCAGTGTTCATTTTGTTGACTTACAAACTTAGTCAAATTTGAGTTGACTAAAATTAGACTAATACTAAAACAATTCAGATAACTAAAATACGGCTAAAACTAAAATGGCTTTTTAGTCAAAAGACTATGACTAAAACTAAATAGAAATTTGCCGCGAAAATGAACACTGCACAGAGGGGCTGTAGAAGGTACAAATGAGACAGACCAGGGCTTGGGAGATAGACACCTAGAGGGGCTGGGAGGACTCAAAGAGACACAGAGGGTCTGGGGATGGGGCACAAGAGACAGATAGAGACTTTAACTAAACCCATTTTTAGTCGTGTTGACTAAAATCTACTGGGGATTTAGTCAGGGCTTGTGTAAGGATTTCTGCCGCCCGTCCTAGACAAAGATCCATTTTGCTGACCCCTCATGAAAGCAAATACAATCTCACAGAGGTTTATTCACTAAAACTCTGAATTGCAGTGAGTTGAAAACCAAATTGCAAAAGTTAAGCAAAAACAGCTGAGTTGTGACTGTAGCCGAATTGGTGAATTCTTCAAGATCAGCTATTTTGGCCTAGATTTTGCCGTATGGTTTTCAGTTAGGTCTGACTAATGCACACATACTGCTTAATGTGTACATCCATACACACATACTGCTTAATGCGTACATCCAGGCTCGGACTGGCCATCGGGCACATCGGGCAAATGCCCGGTGGGCCGCGGTGGCCGTGGGGCCGAGGCCGGCAGGGGAGGTCTCAGGATCTCCCCTGCCGGTCTATGCAGGGCCGGCACTCTCCTAGCGCCGGCCCCGCTGTTTGCCAAGACGGGCCGGTGGGGAGATCAAAGAGAGGACCCGGCGGAGCTCTAACTTGCAGCTCCGCCGGATTCCTCTCGCGAGATCCGGCGCGTTGCCATGGCAACGACCGGATCTCGCGAGAGTGAACTCTAGCCTCACAGGCTAGAGTTCACTCACCCACGAGGAACACCGCCACCCAGTCCCAGCGTGCCGGTCCCCCAAAAAACAGACATTATGTCCCCCCCCTCCCTTCTTACCTTTAGCCTGGGAGGGGGGGGACATAATGTCTGTTTTTTGTTTATTTACCCCCCCCTACACACACACAATAACATTTATACAGCACTCTCACACCCATCACACACAGCACTCTAACACCCATCACACACAGCACTCTCTTACACAGCACTCTCACACCCATCACTCTCTCACACAGCACTCTCACACCCATCACACACAGCACTCTCTCACACACAGCACCTCTCACACACAGCACTCTCATAGCACTCCTCACACACAGCACTCTCACACACAGCACTCTCACACCCATCACTCTCACACACAGCACTCTCACACCCATCACACACAGCACTCTCTCACACACAGCACTCTCTCACACACAGCACTCTCTCACAGCACTCTCTCATAGCACTCTCACACACAGCACTCTCACACACAGCACTCTCACACCCATCACTCTCTCACACAGCACTCTCACACCCATCACACACAGCACTTTCTCACACACAGCACTCTCTCACACACAGCACTCTCTCACAGCACTCTCTCATAGCACTCTCACACACAGCACTCTCACACCCATCACACACAGCACTTTCACACACACAGCACTCTCACACCCATCACACACAGCACTCTCGCACAGCACTCTCACACCCATCACTCACACTCGGCACTCTCACACACATCACACACACACGGCACTCTCACATACACACAGAACCCCCCCAACACACTGCACCACATACATACACAATGCTTCCAAATATATATATATATATACACACACACACACACACACACACACACTACACTCTTAAAGGACCACTCTAGGCACCCAGACCACTTCAGCTTAATGAAGTGGTCTGGGTGCCAGGTCCTTCTAGGGTTAACACATTGTTTTATAAACATAGCAGTTTCAGAGAAACTGCTATGTTTATGAAAGGGTTAAGCCTTCCCCTATTTCCTCTAGCGGCTGTCTCATTGACAGCCGCTAGAGGCGCTTGCGTGCTTCTCACTGTGATTTTCAATGAATGCTTTCCTATGTGACCGGCTGAATGCACGCGCAGCTCTTGCCACGCGTGCGCATTCAGCCGACGGGGCGGATCGGAGGAGGAGAGCTCCCCGCCCGGTGCTGGAAAAAGGTAAGTTTTAACCCCTTTCCAGAGCCGGACGGGAGGGGGTCCCTGAGGGTGGGGGCACCCTCAGGGCATCATAGTGCCAGGAAAACGAGTATGTTTTCCTGGCACTATAGTGGTCCTTTAACATACACACTCTGGATCCCCTATACACACACTAGATTCCTTGTAAGCAAACACATACTACACCCTTAAACACACACACACTATAGCCTGTATGCACACACTTGCTATATCCCCAATACACACATTCTCTACAGCCCATAGCCACATATGCATCACATTACACCACAAACACAACACGACTAAAACCGACCTTATTACACAATACCACACCACGACCAGCTCACTACACACACGCAATACCACAAGCAGGCTCCAAACACATGCACAATACTCTTTCCTGGCCCTTTTGTCTCCTGGTATCCATTTATAGAGACACCAGAGACAAGTTGCAAGGAAACACAGTGCAAGCATGTTATTAAATTTGCTTGCACTGTGCAGAACAAATACAGGACTTTTTTCTCATGCTAGAGCTCTTCAGCAGAGCTCTGCGCATGGTCTGCCCTGGAAGAGCATTGAACCAACATGCTCACTTTGAGAGGAGGCGTGTTTGTCATTGGTGATGACAAAACACACCTCCTCTGCCCCGCCCCCTTTTTAGTGGGCCGCTGTGTTAAAAAAATGCCCGGGCCGAATTTTTCTCCCAGTCCGGCCCTGCGTACATCCATATACACATACTGCTTAATACCTACATCCATACACACATACTGCCCAATACCTACATCTATATACACATACTGCCTAATACATGCATCCATACACACATACTGCCTAATACCAACATCCATACACACATACTGCTTAATGCGTACATCCATACACACATACTGCCTAATACCTACATCCATAGACTCATACTGCCTAATACAGCATCCATACACACATACTGCCTAATACCAACATCCATACACACATACTGCTTAATGCGTACATCCATACACACATACTGCTTAATGCGTACATCCATACACACATACTGCCTAATACCTACATCCATAGACTCATACTGCCTAATACAGCATCCATACACACATACTGCCTAATACCAACATCCATACACACATACTGCTTAATGCGTATATTCATACACACATACTGCCTAATACCAACATCCATACACACATAATGCTTAATGCGTACATCCATACACACATACTGCCTAATAACTACATCCATAGACTCATACTGCCTAATACAGCATCCATACACACATACTGCATAATGCCTACATCCATACACACATACTGCCTAATACATTCATCCATACACACATACTGCCCAATACATACATTGTACATTGAATACATAATTTATCGTTGTGATAAATGTATTCAATGCATTTGATGAATTCAATTTATTATAAGACTAGTCTAGACGGGCACACAAACCGACAGACGAGCACACTCACTGACAGACACACTCACTAGCAGACACTTACATTCACTGACAGACACACTCACTGACACACACTCACTGGCACACACACACAGTCACTGGCAGACACACAGTTGCTGACAGATACACACACACACACATTGTCAGACACATACTTAGTCACTGACAGACACAAACACTCACAGACACACACTCACTGACAGACATGCACCCACTCACTTACTGACAGACATACACTAACTCACTCACTGACACACATACTCACTGACAGACAGACACACACGAACAGCCTCCCTCTCTGCCCACACTGCCACTGCCTGCCTCCTCTCCTTCGGCAGAGCAGGCACCTGCCATCAAGGTAAGCAGGTGCCTACTCTGCCATACTGAAGAATAACAGCATCAGGGGTGCCCTGACATGGCCACGTCCTGGGCCCCCTGTGACAGGGCTCCTCTGGGCGCAGCCACCTTCGGGCGCCTGGAGGATCAGCCTGGCACTGGGGGTGGGAGGGAGGGGCAGCTCAAGAGAAATATCCCGGTGGGCGCCCCCTGCAGGCCGGCCTTGGATTTAGTCGACTACAACTAGACTAAAACTAAAGCAATTCAGATGACCAAAATATAGTTAAAACTAAAATGGCTTTTTAGTCAAAAGATTAGGACTAAAACTAAATTGAAATTTGCTGCCAAAATTAACACAGGTGTTGCTTTGTGAGATCTCTAGATGTTGCATAACAAGCCTCATGATCCCTAAACTGCCCAAGCATCGGAGTTGATTTACCGCAAACGCATAGCAACAGTGAAAATGCTTTACTGCATGTGAGATTAATATGTAGTCTGAAAATAGTGTAAAGTGTGTAGAATAGAGACGTTGAGATTTGACAGCAAGAACAGCGGGTGAAAACATCACCCTCTTCCTTACACACTCAATTTTCCACCCATTAAATTAATATTGGCACGCTAGAAAGCATTTTACCTGTTTATTTTGTAGAAATATAACTCCCTTGGTGCTTGTACAACTTAGGAGCTATAGAAGCTGTGTAGCTTTGCAACATGAGTAGGCCTGGGGTAGAATTCTTAATAATTACAAAGAATTACTTTTGTGAAATAGTCTTTATTTGTTGATGTTGAAGAGGTTGGCACATTTTGAAGTTCAACTCTTTTAAAACGTTACATTCATTTAACAAAACACGTATTCAATGGTTTTTCCTGGTAACACATGTTGTTACATCTGCTCAAAGGAGACATAGGAATTAATCAATTTCCACAGCGTCAGTTGCCCACAGTGAGGTTCTCCAGAGTGATAGGTGCACTATATTTTAGTTTTAGAATGGATACACTAGAAGAATAGACAATTGCTATAGAACAAACATAGTGGAGCAAAATTAATAAACTATTTAATTAAGGGAAATGGTAATACTTTATTAAAAATGGGAATAATATAAATAATATGGGAATAATTGTAAAGATATGTATAAAAGCAATGGAATATGTCTAATATCTACTACATCTATTAAATCTATATTAAAAACTCAATACTTTAAATACTGCATTTAACTGCAGACATGTTTTAATATTAGGGGATACTCATATGCATATGTACAGACCATAGTTTATGCTTTATCTTGAATTTACGTGCGTTGTATTTTGGCCTTGTAATGCAAAGTTTCAGTATTCACGAAACCTGTTAATATTTTATTTTAGATTCCTTGCCACAGGAGTGCAGTGCAGGCTCAGTGACACAATATTTTATCTGGATTTTTGCTGGACTGACAACACTAACTTTTCTCTGTTTGGTTGGAATTCTATACCTATTCATTCAAAGAAAGGTATGTATGCTGTTTATTAGGTAAGTAGATCCTTGTACTGCAAAATATAGACATAAAATAATATTATATATATATTTATATATTGCATTACACTGATCAAGTTAGAAAAAGTAATCAACAGAGGAAAAAAAGAGGCGGAGCAGTAAACAAATCTATATTTATTTAATTAGATATCAATAAATATATAATATATAAATAAAGATTTTATTATATTACCATTCCTCTTTTCCCCCCACTATTACTCATATATTGGTCACTAAGTGACTGTTCCCTGGTCATCAATCATATCATTGTGTCATTGTGTGTTTCAGTTGGTTTGTGGTTTGCATACATTTTGGCTTGGGGTTTGGGAATTTGACGGATCATCCAATCGGCCTAATTTCTAATGAATTACAGTTCAGACGGAAATAAATCTCCAAGTCTAGAAACTTATCTGGGGTGAATTGTAGAGAAGAGTTCAACTGAAACATCCTTTCTTACAATCTAACTTAAAGAACTGGCCCGGCGCAACTATAAGGTGGCACAGTTGGCCGGCCACTTTGGGAGCATCGGCCTGTGGTGGGCACAGTTCTTGTTTGACCTGTTTGTGTAGCCAAAGATTCTTGCACTGGACCTGTTCATGAGTGTATTTAAAGCAACACTGTTACCAATGGTGCTAGTTTGGCTGGGATCATTAAAGGGACACTATAGTCACCAAAACTACTTAATGAACCAGTCTAGCAATCTATTAACAGAGCAGGAGATAATAGATTCTAAATTAAACAGAATTTGCAATAAAGGAAGTATAAACATTAGATGACTCTTTACAGGAAGTGTTTAGGAATGCTGTGTAAGTAACAAGCAGGGATGTGTGTCTAGGGTCTAACTAGGTAGTACTATTTATTTGCATAAACAAGTGATTTAACTCCTAAATGGTAGAGAATTGTGCAGTTAGACTGCAGGAGCATGATCTATACACCAAAACGACTTCATTAAGCTAAAGTTGTTTTGGTGACTATAGTGTCCCTTTAAAGCAATCAGCTGACACACTTAGCCAATGAGCTAAGTTTAGATCAGGAGAGCCAACAGAAGTTCCTTCTTTGGAACTTTAGTCTCCTGTGATGGTAGTGGGGGAGGCATCAAGTGCACCCTAGTTAAGAAGTCAAACCATTCTAAAACAGTTTGGCTTCCTACAAGCGGGGAGTGCCAGGGCACTTCTTGCACCATAACCACAACAGTGAATTGTAGTGGTAAGGGTGTGTTTAGTGTTCCTTTAAATGAGACTTGGGAGAGAGGGGAAGAATCAATTGGGGACAAGCAGATCTGGCAAATTGAGTGATAAATGGGGATAAAGCCTATGTGTGTGGGAAATGAGTAGAAACCACTCACTGAGCCTCTCCTATTTTTATTTTTTATTTTTTTTGTGATGTTCCAGGGGGCATCACAGTTTGTTTGTTTGTTCATTTATTTAGCTTGGAGGGAACATCAGCCATGTCAATGTAAGAGAGCTGATTGGATCTTTCCTATGACATACTAAGATGGCCTCTTATTTTTTTCCTCTTTGTACTTATTACACACTTTATCACTGTTTGCAGATATAATTGACATGCATATGCCTGCTATTTGCATAGTGTTGTGCTTTCTTTCCACTGATACTAGGGAAATAGATCTGCTGGGTGTCATCGGTTACACTCAGAATCTAGTATGTGATGAGTAATAGTGATAATCATAGATATTTAAACTGACTTCCGAGCATAACTGATTTAATGAGCGGTGTAACTACTTACCAAATAAAAAAAAAACATATAGACCGTACTCGGCTAATACTTACAATTATTTGTGGCAACTTCTTAAAGAATCATGAATGTATGACAGAAAAAAAGGCTCATATAAATATGGAGTACAGAATACATATTAGAAAATAGTCGACACACTAAGCAAGGGAGGGGAACAGTACAATAAAAAAATGAAGGACAGCTGAACACATTTCACGTCTACATTGATGCTTTCTCGGCAACTCACTGGTTGTCCAAATCCTTTTGATCCAGCGTTGTGGTACCATTGTTCTTTGTTTTTTTTTACAATTTTATGACATGACCATTAACATTATTTAGTGAATTAAAAAATATGTGTTTTAATACAGTAGAAAGTGCTGGTCAGTATCAGCATGGAATGTCCCCAGAGTTCTCAGTAATACATCTGCATCTCCAAATATGTCAGGGAAATATTCTCTGTAAATGTGCGAAATGCATTTGCTTAAATCCATGTGGGTAATCATTCATCCAACATTTTAAGTGCATTATTGTAAATTTTCATTCATACAACTGTCAAGAAAAATGAAATGTTCCTTGGAGTATGGCATTTATAAAAATTATCAAAGCATCTATCAAGAGAATAATTTTCACTGTTCTTCTGTTTTCACAGCATTGCAGCAAATGTGTAAAAACACATGCACAACCGAACATTGAACAAAATAATGAATATATGCCGATGGCATCTGTTAACGCTGCCAGAGGCCGTGTGTGATGAGGTATGGCTGTGTTATTATAGCAAAGTAATTGTGTTGGTAGACATTTTTAACAAGCACTATTTATCTTTGTATCTCTGTCTGTCTGTCTGTCTATGTGTCTGTCTGTCTGTCTGCCTGTCTATCATCTAATAATATCTGTCATAAGAGCCATCAAATTGTGCTTGACAATGTTTCTTTTACAATCTGAAGCAGTTATCAATATATGCACCTGTTATTTTAGTAATATATTGGATTTAGACAGATTTTATTCACATGTCTAAATGAAATATATATATATATTGTGACAAATGGCCTATTTGCCCTATTTTCCTTTCTCTATTCGAGAACTCACAGTGCCATTTTGCTACCATTGCTAGCAATGGGATGGGTGCAGGCGAATGACTATAGTGTATGTAGCTCATAATGCGACTACCCTGACTTGCAGGAGCAGGGAAGGTGTATGATGATCTCAAGACAGTGTTACATTGTAGATGCGTATTCTACCTTATTGTAACATGTAGGATTACATAGGAAATGGAACAGCTATGCTTATTGTAAAGTGCTATAAGTTGGCACTATATAAATATCAACAATAATAATAATAATGATAATGATAGTGCATATGTAATGTGTTCAGTTACTCTTGGTCTCAGTTGGCCTGAGACCAGGCCAACTTAGAAAATGTACCTAGCAAGCCAGTTAGATGCTTAGCCAGCACAGTGGGAGGCGGGACTCCCACTGGAATTTGCTATAGTGTGATCGCTCATTAGAGAATCGATAGCCGTTTTTAGTTAGATAGAATAACCTGTAATACCTGGAGCAACTCTGCAGTGTATCCTGTTTTGCCTGGGATTAGCGACACAAGTACTAGCGCCCAGGGTAGAAGTTTGCCAGGCAAGCTGGTGGAAGTTCCCACAGGTCCGAACTGTTACGTCTTCTGTAACAGAGATACCAGGACCGTATCGCTGCCAACTGAACCGCTAGCGGGAAAACTATAGGCTAATGCAATGAATCACACGGATGATACGAGGCCTGAACTGGTTCACCTTCAGGGCCAGAGACTCCAGGGTCATATTGTCTATGATATCTATGATAGATTGATTTATGTATATTAAAACAGATTGCCTGCATTTGTTAAAATATTCTAATGTATAAAAACATATTTTCTATGTTTATAAAACTTTTGCTCAGCAGCAGGTTATACTGAGAAGAAAACTTATGATACGGAGAGGACAACAAGTGATATGACTTTGGGACAAACCTTATAGTTTTATAGACTGTGGCCAACAGCTTTATCTCCTATAAAGACATCATTGACCACGAACTATCCTGAAGACTGGAGGCTCGCTCATCCTTTATATTTGTTAGATTGTGCAATAAATATATATGTAAGCACAAAGCAATCTTAAGAAGGGCTTGAAATACTGAGAAAAAAGTGAACTTTCCATTTCACTTTGCACATTTATTATCTCATTTCCTGCCTGAGACGTAGATGGTGTCTTTTCATGAAAAGATTGAAAGAAACCAAACAACACTCTACCTCGTTGTGATCTGGGAGGACTTTTCTAACTTTAGTTTGAAAAAATGACTTTAATTTTCCCCTTTGTGTACTCATTTTAATGTATTCTTAAAAGCATCTTTTAGTTTTGTATATCAGCAATTACTGAATTTTAAACAGGAACTGCACTGAAACAGGAGATTAAAAAGGTAGTGTGTATCATGTACATGTGGCAAAAAAATAAATAAAAAAAAAGAATAACAGGAGAAAAAAAGAATAGAATTACTTGCATGTTTTGTTTTATTTAAATGTATCTATGTGGTTCTGATATCTGTACTTAGATAAATATAATTACACTCTAATGGCACGGCTATCCACAACATCTATTGCAAATCAAATTACATTGGTAAGAGGTGCTATTAAAGAATAGGTAGAACAATGGTGAAAGTAAGTAGACTTGTCACAGTTACACATTACTCAACCATGGCAACACACGTTAAGAACTAAGGTGAGTTGACTTTTATGTTATATTATTAGAATCACTCTTGATATGCCACACATGGTTTTTCTTTAAAGTAACAGTCCAAAATCTGCAACATTTGTGACAGTTTAGAAAAGTGCTGATTTCAATGTCATATCTGATTGTATCACCCTCCCACTATATCCTCTGATCCTCATCAGTGCAGCCATTATCCATACTCACTGTGTACGGTATACTGTTTGTTATTAAGGACTTCTTATATTGGCACAATTGTGGATACATTTCTGCTACTTTACAATGTCATTTGTTCTGCACAACCTTTTGTCTCACTGTACAAGTCCCCTTTAGATTGTAAGCTCATGTGCAAGGCTCTCTTCTTCTTTTGCTCCAGTGTGTCTAAATATTTATTCCCTGTTACCAGTGTTATTTTTTGCATAAATTGTAAAGCGAGAGAGCTATATAAGATTTGCTAAGTAAAGACATAAATAAATAATTAGGGCAAAATGTGTTTTCGTTTGGGGTAAATATACTATTTATGCTCAGTGGAGTGTTCCTTTACTCATTATTCTCATTATAGCAGAATTTAGTTTTAAAAATCTGGACTTTTCCTTGGAACACTAAGTCATCTTCATAGCAAACATCAGTTTAGTAAATTGCAGCTGATATAATGTTGCAAATTAGTTGCAAAAAGAACCTGCAACACATAATTAAAAATATCCATTAAAGGACCACTCTAGGCACCCAGACCACTTCAGCTTAATGCTGAAGTCCAGCTAGGATTAGTCCATTTTTTAAATAAACATAGCAGTTTAATAGAAACTGCTATGTTTATAAATGGGTTAATACAGCCTCTAAAGCCTCTAGTGGCTGTCTCATTGACAGCCGCTAGAGGCGCTTGCGTGCTTCTCACTGTGAAAATCACAGTGAGAATACGCAAGCGTCCATAGGAAAGCATTATGAATGCTTTCCTATGAGACTGGCTGAATGCGCACATGCACATTCATCCGAAGAGGAGGATCGGAGGCGGAGAGGAAGAGGAGAGCTCCCCGCCCGGCGCTGGAAAAAAGGTCAGATTTAACCCTTTCCTCTCCCAGAGCCCGGCGGGAGGGGGTCCCTGAGGGTGGGGGCACCCTCAGGGCACTATAGTGCCAGGAAAACGAGTATGTTTTCCTGGCACTATAGTGGTCCTTTAATCGATTAAACAGCTACACAGGCAGGGTCTCATTTGCTCTCAATTTATCCCATCAAATGTTTATTTTAGAGCCCTGGCTTAACTGATATCTTCTTGATATCTTCATGCAAATCAATTTATAACTTTTTTTGACATGCGTTTTTTTACTGATAAAATACACCTACTATTAAAATTATAGACTGATCATTTCTTTGTCAGTGGGCAAATGTTCAAAATCAGCAGGGGATCAAATACTTTATTCCCTTACTGTAGTTCTATAGAGATTTTTGAACAGTAAATACTGTCTTCTATTCCTTCTATCCATATAAATGAAGAGGGTTTAAGTTGGTTCATGCTGGTCAGGAACACTGAGAATAAATATTTGTATCTAAATAGGTAGGTTTGTAGCAGATAGTGAGTCTTAGATCTCTAAATTGTTCAGTGAGTATAACTGCATTCTTTCTGAGAATATATTGTAAAAAACACATTAATTAATAAAGTGATAAATAGGTGAAGCAGACCATTGATAGCTCGATTTTTCAAGTTTCTACAATCATCAGCTCATTTATCCATTTGGACAGTGCAGGCCTTAGGCCTTTAGGCACGCTGTGCAAAAAATCTTCACAGCGCCCCTCCATGGTCATACCCCATCATCCATCCATATGGAGGAGGACAAAGCCCCATAGCAGAGATTGGAGCTTTTTTGATGAACTTTGACATTGTGGTGTCTAGTAACACTTGGAATTCCTCCAATGCCAAAGGAGAGGCATCATCCCCAAGCCCAGGAGCTAGGGAACTATGCAGAGAAAAGCCTGGAAGGCAAGTAGGCCCATCATTCCCATCCTGTATCTATAAAGTAGAATTCCCAACAGTGGATATCAGGCTAAAAACAAGCAAATCCCAGCAGTACAGTCACACAAGTGTCACAATGACAGCAGTAGGCACTGAACAGTTCAACTATTCACCCAAAACACTTAGACCTAAACCTACAGGGTTGAGTAACCCTGAAAAGGGAGCACTATGATAAACAGGTAGGTAAATAAGAGAACAATGTACAAACTCACAACCGGTAACCATCCACAGGAGGAAAGAGTCACTAGTCTGCCACCTGATGGGAAACTGTAAAGAGAGAGGAGGCCCTCTTCTTCACTAACCGTTTCATGGGTATTCCTAGACTCAGGAGCCTTGACAAAACTCTATCACCAAAAATATGGCCACTGCGGGTGTGGGGATGCAAACAAAAATGGCCTAAATGCACTTGCCCAGCAGCCTGGGTGGATCACCAAACAGTCACAGAAAACCTGGCAGAGATGAGGCAGAACCCAGGCTTTAGGAGGCAGAGCGGCAGACCATTGAGAGCCACAGTTCCCGCACAGCAACACAAGGGGAATACAGAAGGGAAAACTGTGAGAAGTACAAGAATCAGAAGGAAATAACAATAAAATGTCTTTCATCCTGACAGTCAAAGGAAAAGGCAAAATAAAGCTGTACAAGTGACCAATAATAAATCAAACCAAACTGTAATAAGTAATGCAGATATACTTAGCTGGTCTGAGGGAGCAGCAAAGAAAGAGGAGTTGCTGGGATTCGGTTGTGCCTGTTACAGGTTGTGCTCTGTTATGATTGGTTAATGTGTTTGAAGGCATCTTTTGTTAAATAAAAATATATAAAAATCAACTTTGCATTCATATTGAATCACTAAATGTTGCTTTTATTCACCGATCAATTGAGTTGTGACCAATAGACGGAAAAAGGGGAGCAATATAAAAACCACTCATTATATATTTCTATATTCTATATTTAATAAATATATAATATGTCAATATGTCCATATAGAATGTTCTTCCTCTTTTTCCCTCTGTTGGTTACATTTTCTCACTTGATCTGTGAACCAAATGGCAGGAAAATACGCCAATCAATGTACTGTAAAATATATACAATATTTCTATTATGCATACATTTTCCAGTACACTGATTGGCATTTTCTTGCCCTTTTGGCTTGTTTTCCAGAATGCTTTTTTGGTAACAAATTTCAGCCAAGCCATATGGGCAAAATTAAACTGTCCCAAAATGTTTTATTTATTTATTTTAAGCCAAAGTGATCCAGCCAAGACAAATTACCGCCATGCACAAGTCTAATATGCTTTCTCAACATTAAATGCCCACAGGAGTATCTGAATAAGCATGGAATATAGTCAGTGTAAGTAAAGAAACCTTTTATATTGACGCTCTCACTGGTCCAGAATTGGATAAAAATATGGCTACTTTTGCTGGGATTGTAGTTTAAACATCGATATGTGCCATACATTGGTTTCTTCATGAACCTTTTTCTGGGCAAGTATCTAGTGATCTCTGCCCTTAACAAATAATCTTGGATTGTTTTTTGTCCTACTGTACTCAAAGAGTAGATGTTTGTTAAAATGACGACCAAATTCTACGTCGTTTTCCAAAATGTTCATGTTTTCAAAATATAATTTGAAATATATATTAATAAATAAAAACCTCTCTTGGCTCTGTTCTTGGCTGATTTCTCTCTCTCTCTCTCTCTCTCTCTCTCTCTCTCTCTCTCTCTCTCTCTCTTTCTCTCTTTAATCTCATCTTTCATCTGTTAACAGCATTTTCAAACTTGTTGAACAAAGAAGTAATCTCTGAAGAATTTCAGGTTTCATTCAGTGCTCTTACCGCCATAATGCTGGCAAAGCATCATGGGAGATGTAGTTTAATCATCTGGAGCACCAAAGGTTACCTACGCTTGCTCTTGACTCTATGTGGCTGGCGATATGTAATATTGTATCTGTTTTACTAGAATGTAAATGCCAAATGCCTAGAAGAATATCAGACTCGTATGTTTGATGTATACATGAGTTGCTAAGGCATTACTCATTACCTTTCTTTTATATTCTTATATTCAGAAATATTATATTTTTGAATCAATCCCTCAGTTATCTATTATGCCAGTAAATGTAATGTTATAGAAGTAACCCAGTATAATAAATTATTTTGTTTTCTCAGAAGGAAGATGACATTTAATATATAGAAAGATCTGTTTTTCATATGATAGCACGCAAACCACAAAACCCTGTTTGTTCATGATTATACACCGAAAAATGCAATGCTGTTCACACACTTCTTTTTTTTTTAAATTGCCCAATGTGGTCATTGATGTGTTATATCGCTAACAAGAAGTATGTTAAGAAGTTATTGTGCAATATGTTCGCAAGATATTTCTGAGACTGGTGTGTGATTAGAAACAAAACTTTAATGAGTCTTCAGGGATTGTTAATGAAACACAAAAACACATTTTAATGACCAAATCAAAATATCTGGTGTTGTTAATCTGATAAATTTACTACATACAAAATTTGAGATATAAAGCATTAACATTCAAATTTCCTTAGCACTAAGAGAACATGAACCTAATTAATTTAATGAAACAAGCAATGGTTCAGTTCAGTGTTTCGGAATTACATGAAGCATAAAGTTGCCAGAATTCCTTTTCGAGCAGTATCTCATTTACACTCTGATAGCTGAAATCAAACTTGGTAGAATGGGGGATA